TCAGAGGAGTGTTTTTGCGGCAGCAGGCAGTTTGTTGCTTGAAGAAAGCTAAAATATTCTAGGAAGTCAGGCTAGCTGAATTTAGATCTTAGGCAATGCCAAAACTAATATAGCCTTTAACTAAGCGAGAGTGACTTTGCACAGTAAATGTCAGTCACCCGCAGCTTTGTCTTACGTTTTCATATGAGGCTTTTAAAAAGAAAAACACAAACAAAACCCCAGAAAACGTGGTAGCTCCTTACATCCAATCGAGCCATAGCTACAGCCTGCTGCCTAGGAGAGGGACTGCTCCTCATCCTCTGCGTGTAGCGAAGGCTCTGGGCTGGACAGATGGGGACGGACTTGGACGTGAAACGTCTCCTGTATGGCTGGGCTGGCCTGGAGTGCCCTCTCTTGGCTGCTGCAGAAACCTCACGTTTTGGCCAGGATGTGGAAAGAGTCAGTCGGTTGTTCCCATTTCAATTTTCCAGAGGTGAGCTGTATTGGTTATACTTCCCGATTTTGCTTCCTAAGGACCTCTGATAGCTGAGCGTGAATCTTTGGTGCTTGTGGCAAGTTTGAATCCCTCACCTGAAGCCCCAATGCAGTTACACGCTCCAGCAGCATTGCATGTAGGACTCTGTTAACTTAGTGCTCCTGGGACTCTTAACGTTTTAGCAGAGCTCAGGTTTTTAAGAGACTTCATACCACTCTGAATCCAGGGATCCCAGAGGCAGCAACTGCAGTGGCCCCTGCTTGACTCTTTGCACTGCTAAATGAATCCAGAACAAATGAGGCTCTGAAAATAAGAAGAAAAATTTGACACCTGGACTCCAGGAAACATTTGTGGATTTTGATGAGGAGCAGTAGGGGGAAGGGAAAAAATCTATGGTTCAATGTAGTTAAATATATGGTGTGCTAAGTATGAATAAATTGTGACTATTTTAAACAAGTTCATATACTTTATGGCTGGCTCGAGCACAAAGGAAAAGGAAAAGACAACAGCTACAACGTACAAGTTCCTCAAAGGGTTACCTGGAGGCCAGCATCCTGGGCAGCTGCTGGTGCACGGCAGTGGGCAGCTTTCATCATTTATACAAGCAGCAAACCTTTTTACACGTAATTCTTTTTTTAAAAATAATTTGTGTCAGTACTTGTGAGTGAAGGGTGTTTGTCTCCTGATAGACTTACTTTGAAATCCGATTCATTTCCTTGTTGTTCATAAATGATTCATTTGTGAAAAGGAATCCTTCAGTAAACCGAAGTTAAAAGTGCCTCTTTAAATGTACCGAGCCTGGTTCATGCCCATTTTAAGATGACCAAATTGCATGGGGCTGTCCTGTGCACACTCTCTCTGCTGTAATGCAAAGTCATGTAATAATTTCTTTGAACTGGTGAGGTTGAGTCACTTCTGTAATCTGGACGAGTTGTTACAGCAACATCTTAGCTCTGGGTTTGGGGAGGGAGTTGCTTCCCAGCCTGTAAACTTCATCCAAGTAAATTAACCTTTCACTTTAAAGCAGAGGCTGAAATCTGGTCCTGACTGCTAGTGACTAAAAATCGCTATTCTCTGGCCTAACGTGAGCCAAGTTAAATGAATCAAGAGCCTTAGGTAGGTGTGCGGTAGCAGTTAGTGCTGATCCGTAACCTTGAATAGCCCTGGCTGGTCTGTTAACATGGAGGTGGCCCCGAAGCCCATCAGGGCACTGCGGGAGTCAAGTTGCCTTTTGCAGTTAGTATAGAAGGTAGGAATCTGGTTTTTAGCCTGCTGTGCTAGCGCTGCTTTCTTTTTAAAACAAGGTAACAACCCATGCGGTCCAGTTGCACTCACTGTTTACAAGATGTGAATGTGAATTCAGTGTTTGCTGCCTTGTTTTAGCAAGTGTCGTTCTTTCGGGTGCATTTGGCTTTGAGTGTAAATCGTAAGGCAAGGTTTCAAAAAAACATTATTCCTTTTGTTTTGATAAGAAAAGCATGGTGCAATCCACAGTTACAATTACCCTCACATTAAATTATAGAGAATACATATTAATGATTACACCTTGAAATTCAGCGGGTTCGTGTCTTCACGTGCGGCTTTTGTTGCATTCCTCCTGGCAATCGCATTGCGATTCACAGCCACTCAGGGTTTTACAGCACTGCTCCGTTACTGCCTCAGCCCTGCCACTCTGTACTTTATATTGCTCTTCTCTTCCTGTACAATAGCTCCCTCTGCTTGAAAACAGCAGTGTAATTATAACCCCTGTTTTGTGTTTGCCCGATCAACGGTTTTTAATATGGGCCCCTTTTTTAACATTTCCATGAAGCAGTTCCAGTACGTGGCTTATGCTCGTGCATGTTGCGAAGAAGCGAAGGTAACAATGCTGTTCTTGAAACTTTGCTGCGTAGGAACTGCCTGTGTTTGCAGGAACTCTATCCTCATTTTTAGCATGAGGATTAAAGCTTGTTGGAACACTTTTTCAGCTAAATTATCTTTTACCAAAACATGATGAGGTATTGTCGCCAAAATGGTTTTATTTCGGTGAAAACTTAAGTTGAAACAGGACTGTTTCTCATCAGAAATGTGGTAACTAGGCCACTGACCTTGAATATCTGCATAGGAGCAGCTAGTGGTGAGATTCCCATGTCCTGCTTAAGTGGTTCTGATCTGGAACCCAAAAAAGAGCAGCTTCGGATCAGACAGAGCAGGGATTTGAACCTGGTTCTCCCACATTCTCAGCCAGCGCCATAATTACTGGGCCAGTCATTCACTCGCAAATTTTTGTCAGCTTATCTGCATCAGTAAGGATGAGTGCCGGTTTTGTTTTGTTCATTTTTTTATCAATATAGCTAAGCCAGCAAAAGTCATATTAGAAAAGCTGTTGTGTCAGCAGAGGTGTAGTTCTGCTGAGAGAGCGTTCACCCATTTAGGGAACCAGCATAAACCTTGCTTGCCATGGCAAGATGAGCCCATGATAGGAAAACTTGCTGGTTTAGTACTATTAGCAAAGCCCTTCCTAATGTGAAACAGTGCCTTACTTGCTCAAAAATGGCTGTCTCAACACGATCCTGGTTTTGCAAAGAAGTCCAAAAGGTTATTTTTATTTTGCATTGGAGCAAACCCCCCAAATTAAAAACATTTCAGGAGTCTGTGTCAAACAGAGCGTTTGTTCTGTGGTCAGCTGTCATCAGGATGGTGAGGCACGTGGTTTTGTCGGCAAGGGCAGGCAAAGCTGACTCTACACAAAGGGCAGCAATAACTTTACATTTTCAAAATTCAACGCTTTCTTAAAGCAAAACCTCTTTTTTTTTTTTCTCTCTCTTTTTTTTTTAACCTCTTGGAATCCTTTGGATTCTTCTCTTGGACTTCCTTTGGGTTTATTTTGTTTCTAAAAATTTCCAAAGTATATTCAGAACGTGGATAGCTTGCTGTTTGAAACAAATGAAAGCCTTTCCCCTCGGCATTGTGCGAGGCAGGTTTGAGCAGAAGCAGCCGGACAGCCCAAGCACGCTGGCACGGGTTCAGTAGGCAGAACACCATTGCACAGCAGAGCGAGGTTGCTGGGCTTGATTATCAAGACGTGATGCTTGAAAGAAAGCCTCTTCTGTACAATACGGATAGCTAGTGTTTGGGAAGATTATAAAATGGCAGGATTAGGCAGTAGAACAGGAGAGAATTATTAGCAGTATGTGTTTACTGGAATTCAGCATGGCTCTTCCTGCAAGTTCTCAAATTGCAGCCCTTTACAGATATTACATTCATTGCCTCATATGTTTGCACATACCTTAAAAAACATGTTCACTTGGAAAGTAATGTATAGCTCTATAAAAATAAAGAGTTAAAAAAGCATTCCTGTTTTCAAATTAACACTCAGGTGCTGAATTTGTGGTGGTCTTTGTGATTTGAATTTTGCCCCCCCTCTTTTTTTTTTAATCTCTCCCGTGCCCTGAATAAGATGCAAGTCCTGAGGGAAAAATAGTACATGATTATGCATTTGAAGCCTCAGTACATACAAGGAGCATTTCTGAGCCTTATGAGCCCTTTGCAAGGGAGAGAAAGGCTAATTCTAATCTTAAAACAAAAACAAAAAACCCCAACAACCCACAAACCAAACAAGGAAACAAACAAACAAGCCCACAATATATTTGGTTTGTGTATCTTTCTGCCACTATATAATAACTTATGATCCTTTTGTTGGATTGAGGATGAATTTTTAAATGGCTGAATGCATGATAGAAATGGTACATGACACAACACAAAGGCTAGTACTAAGAAAAAAAATAAGTGAATATTTTTGCATTGGTTTACAGCCTATCCAATGTCTATAATATTTTTTACTTTACCTTCCCCTGTATACACCACTACAGTGTTCCTTGTCTTCAGCAATAACCTCAGTTACTCTTCTGTTGCTGTCCCCTGTATTCTCTGTTAAGGAAGCTTCAGGGGTGGAGAAAATGTCTTTTAGAAGTCGTCATGCAGATTTGAGAAAGCAGGAACACCTGCAGTATTATAGCAAATTATACTGGTATTTCTTGAATGTTTTGGGTTTGGTTTTTAATTTTAATTTAGTAATATTTTTAATTAAATTTCTAATGTTGCAATGATTTCTTTTAACATCAGTTTTACTGCTATGAAGCTCTCAAAAGGCGTGCAGAATGGTTATTTTATGTAACATTAGCACGTAACAGGCTGGATGGAGGCCTGTGGAAAAGTGCCAGCCTTCTTGTTCTATTTGCAGGTTGGTCTGGCCATTTGTTTCTCTGTATGTAAGAAGAGGGCAGGCAGGGTATCAGTTAGCTTTCAGATCTTCAGATTTCTTAATGGATTAGGCAAGTGATGGAATATCTTCCTACTGCAAACCTTTCTTTTTCTAAACTGTAAGCCTTGGCAGTATTAGCAGACAGTCCTTTTGAATATCTCGGCAAGCTTCAGTTCTGTAGCATTAGATGATGAATGTGCTTAAGTGCTCTTTACCTACTCAAAATAAATGTCGTCTTTCTGGGGGGGTTGACTTTTTTTTTCTTTTTTTTTTTTTCCCCAGGATCCCTTGGATCCAACAAGAACAGCCATTGTGATCAGCTCTTTGGTGGCAGGTGGAGTAGCTGAACGTGGGGGCGAGCTTTTACCAGGTGACCGCTTGGTGTTTGTAAATGAGAAATGTTTGGACAGCTCCACTTTAGCAGAGGCAGTGGAAGTGTTGAAATCGGTGCCCCCAGGTACAGTTTCTCTTGGAATCTGCAAGCCTTTGGTGGTAAGGACTGATTTTAACTTTTTTCTATTTGATTCTATGACATGTGTAGACTGGGTTGCTGGTTTTGGGGCGTGTGTGGGAAATTCAGGGTAGAAGTATGTATGCATGTGGAAAGCAACTAAGTTGCTCTGCATACACCTTGACATGTCCAGAAATGCTGGATAGGTGGTGGATGGGCAGCTCAATGTGCGAGAGGTCTGGCTGGAAAACCAGTATTCTCAAGTGCCTCCTGAAAGAACATCCACATGGAACCGGAAGATGTGTCTGGGCAAAGCTACGCGCACTGGCCCTATGCATAGGTGTAACGTGGTTCAAGCAACTCAGCAAATCAGTTAAATACATGCTGAAGTCCATTTCCCTCTAAGACACTGCTAAGTGCTTGCTTGAGCTCCACTGACATCAAAGAAACTTAATCTGTTTGAAGTCAAGACTGTAAATTCAAGTAGAATTTCCTTTTTCTAGAATCAGGGCTTTGGAACAGACAGTAGTTTACTTGAGAACACTGCGGTATTGTTCATCAAGGGCACCCAGGCAAAATTAATTAAAGTAAAGCTCTATCTAATAGAAAGCGCTTGTAATTCAAACTGGTAGAGGAGTGGTGAAATAGGAATGTAGAAAGGCTGTTAAATACATTCTTTCCTTTTCTAAAAAGTGATGTTCCATTGTTCATATCCTTGTATTTGTCTTTCTTACACATCTCTCTATTTTTTACTGTATCTGTACTAACATCTTAAAAGAATAAAAGCTGTTGTCTTCATCTTCTCCATTTATGACTTCCTTTTTTTATAATTCTGTCACTTTTTCCCATTTCTTCTCTAATGGCTGGTTCTCCCTCTCCATTTTAGTTTATTGAAAACTGTGGGGGTGTTTTTGTTTTCCTGACTCATCATTTTGATTGCCTTTCTTAGGGAGAAAGCAAAGAGGAGGAGAACATGCACTATGTGGATTCCAGCAACATTAAAACCAGCCCTGGATCTCCAGAACCAATAGATAATATAAATTTCTCAATAATACTTGAAGCACCACAGGTATTTGGTTACTCTTTTGGTTCACCTTAAGATTATATGAAAAGGAAATTATGTTTAAAGGAAAAAAAAAAATAGTTTGCCCTTCAGATAAGTATCAGCCTCTGAAAGAGACTCTAACAGCTAACTGTATACTAATTGTATTGTGAACACTAAGCATATGCATAGCACTCACCAGTGCAGTTCCCAGGCTGCTTTATCAAATTTACCATGTCATTAAAATATCTGGGGTTACCTTGGATATGAAATAGGAATGCTACGTTATTTATAGTTGTAAGTAGTTGGTTCAGCTTTGTGAAGAAAATAAGGAATGGAAGCAGAACACTTTTTATTATAATGAAGCAAAACAAAAAAGTAGTCCAGTGTATAAGGCAAGCTTGACATCTGTTCTTCTTCATGGACTTCCTATGTGGTCTTGGGTGATTTCTTTACTTTCTTCCTCCATTCTCCTCTTTCTTATTTTCTGAGAAATAATTCTGTTTATTGTGGGAGGATGAAGCACTAAAGTTAGTGAGAAACTCGGATACCAGAGTAATAGGCAATAATATTGCAATATTGACCTGTGTAGAGTGAGAGAAATGTGGATATTTTTAAATTTTCATCTGTTCTCAAGTGCTTTGCAAATTTGTATTAATTCACATTGGTAAATGCGTTCTCTTGACACCAGAAAAGACAAGACATAAAAGATCATCCAGAACTGCAACACAGCAATAAAAATAAATTCTAGATTTTCCTATTGCTAAACATGTCTACCTGTCACTGGACACAAATATATCTTTAATGCCAAAATTGTATATTAGAACCACCAAAATGAGCAATATTATGGGGTAGATTTAAGTATACTATGTAGAAATTGGCTTGGACATGACGTTTCCTGATTTTCATGATGTAAAATGGAGTTTGTTGTTTTCTGGGTGCATAGGAAGGGTTCCTGTCCTCTGCCAGCTCAGGTTGTTTCTCTGCTTCCTAAATAAAAATAACATTATTTTTTTAAAAAGTATTTTATCTAAAAGTCCTGCTGACTACAGAAACTGGAATGATCAATTTGTACAAAATACACACAGAGATATTTGCTCGTATTTTGTTTTACCTTATGTATGACAGCGTTGATAGTAGCTTAGAGCAGTAGTATAACATTTCCATGTATTTATTATCTTACCTGCTCGTACAAGAGCCAAGAGTGGTGTGTCATGATGGTTTCCACTCTTATGCACTAGCACAGTGCTGACAAAACTGACTTAAAAAAAAAAAAGGGTGGGGGACACGACCTTGAAGATTTTATATGCTACAACAGTAGACTTTACTGTCATGTTTGCAGTATTCCCTACTCCATTGGTAGCGCCTGCTGCTGCAGTGCAGCAGTCTGTGATGATACATACCTAAGTGCTTATCGGGAGGTGGCGATACAAATTGTCGTGTGGTTCTGAGCTAAGTCAACCGTTTTACACAACGGTGAAGTTGGTGCCTCTTACGGAAGTGTTTGGAGAATGATGCTGCAGAAGTGAAGTGGAATGAAATGAAGTAAAGATGAAGAGAATTAGAATCTCTTCAGACTGGGTATTTTTTGAGATTGAGGTACACAGGTCAAATACATTAAAGGAACATTTAATGCTTATGAAAAATGTGCTAATTTCTGGATTGCTAATGTTCTGCTTTCATGCCAGCTAGTATTATTGCATTGTTTCGTTACTCTCTTGCCTGTTTCTACTTTTCTCTCCTGCCTCTCATTTCAACTATGCGAACATTTTGGCAGCGTCTGAGTATTTTTTCTTCTGCATTTGTGCAAACCTAATAAAAAAGGATTCTGACACTAAAGGTCAGAAATGGTGAAGTACCTTGGGGAGTCTGGGAAGGGGCAGGAAGCAAAAGGCAAAACACTTTGATCGAGGATCCCTGAATCTGCAGATTGGTTTCAGTGTTTGGGGTGTCGGTGCCTTGATGGTTCGGTTCGGGCACACGTATTTGGTGGCCTAAAGAAAAGAGAGGAAGAGCTTTCTGCGTGTGGCAAGCTTTCTGGTAGCGGTGCGAGGCGTAAAATTTCAGAGACGCCCGTGCAGACTCACTCCATAAGCCAATGAATGGCACCCCTTTGGTGTGGGAGAAACATGGAGCACTAGAAATTGGGGAGATACATGACAAATCCCAGAAAAAGAACTGCTGAGCATGATCTTTGAAAGGGTTTTAATACCTTTTCTTTTGGTTTTGTTGTTTGGGGATTTTTTTTTGTTTTGCTCTGTGGTTTGAATTCAGTAGAAAGTTGAGCACTCTTCTCTTTAAAACAGCAAGGCTATTAGATAATGAGCAGGCCGTTATGTCTTTTTTTCTCTTTTTTTTTTTTTTGAGGATATGGGTCATCCCCCAGGTTAAAATATTGTCAGGGAAGGACAAATGAGCGTGACTTTGGTTTTGTGGTGGTTTTTTTAATTGCATAATCAAACTTTCAGGCTGTTTTTTTTTTTTTTATTTAACTGATGTTGGTGTTGTAAGAAATGTACATGCACACATGGAGCAATAGCAGATAAGTCTGGAGCACAGAGATACTTCAACTGGATTTATATATACTTTTTCCTGTAGGTGTTTTAGTGTTATTAAATAATTCCCATTCCCTAACTTCAGTCCAGATTGGTTATTCTGAATGGATAGATATTCAGCAATATCTAAGCTGTGCAACTTCAATGTCTTTATATTTTAAAAAAAGATTGCAATGTCTGCTTTTGGTGTTGAAATCATAAGTCAGAGTGTGCATTTTCCTTCAGAAAAATGCAAAAGGTAGAAGATTTTCACTTTAAAAATCAGGATGTACCTTTAATATGGGCCTAACATAAAACATAGTTTTAAAAGAGTTAGCAAGAAACATAATGTAAAATCTATATTCCTGTAACGTTTTATGCAGGGTTTCAGAGATGAAACACCTTTTAAGGAAGAACTTGTTGATGAACCAATTTTGGACTTGGGAAGGTCATTTCAGCTGGCTCAAAATGATAATGAGTATGAGAAGGAATCCTGGGAGATGCATGAATTTCTGAAACCCAGAACAGAAGAAATGGATGAAGAACGGGAAATGTTGGTGGATGAGGAGGATGAAGAAAATTCAGACTTCCTGAAATACAATGGATCATGTGGACAGAAGGCAACTTCAGAGAGGAACCTCGATACAGAAAGATGGGCAAAGCAACTTGAGACTACTGAAATACAACACTTAAGATCCAATGTTAACCGAAGTCCAAAACAGTCACTGGAATATCCATTCGATAAAGATCAAATGGTGAGGAATGCTGTACCTTCACCATGGGACCCATACCTCAAGGCAAATTCCAAACTGAAGCTCTGTAATGAGTCTTTCTAGTATTTTAATTACTTGATGAGATCTGGGTACCTCTAACAGACACCATCTATCCTTTTGTACATTTTGGAAGGTTCTTTTGGTTACTGTGTCTGTATATTTAACTGCTCGAACAAGATACATGCTATGGTTGGTGTATTTTACAGGCATCCTGTACTAGTGTCGTCTTTCCCATCTCTGACTCGTGGGCTCAGTTCTTTTAGCAAGTTGTACTAATATGGTGCATGTCAGTAATAGCAGAATGTCAGTTCCTGGTTTTAATAGTCCAAAGGCTTCAGCAGCAATATCAGTGAAAGGAGCTCCCTCCTTTCCTCATTATTTTTAATCCAAATGAATTCCTTGAGCCAGATGATAGTGCAGCTGAGCGAAAAATGATATGGTGGAAGCAATTGTAACAAGCATACTGGTGGGTGAAGGAGTAGGAGGAGACAGAGCTTCAGGTAAATTGCGAAACTCTTATTTATATGTCCTCCTCAAGGATTCTGACAGTTGTTTTTTCCTTCTGAGTTTTTCTGTGTTCACTTGCCAAACAAAACAGTGGTAATACCAGCCTTCCACATACCAGCTTCCAAGATGTATGCTTTTATATGAAAAAACTGAAGTGGAAAAGGATTTAATATCACAGCCACAGAGAATACCAGGTTTTGTTTGGCTTGTCCCCTTGTGCACTGTGTACATAAACAGGCTAAAATGCAACATCTAGTGACAGTTTTATACTAGAGTGCACAATATTAGATTTATACATTTGTTACTTAAAAACAACAAATGAGCAAGAGCAAAGAACTTCTTGTCTGGATTACAGGCAAGTAGAAAGGTACAGTTGCTTTATATTGCAATTGCACATAACATTTTTCATGCCTCCTCTTAATATAGTGCAGTTAGTATTTCATAGTTATCTGAATAAATATGAATGTAGTTGAGAAAACGTGAATGTTTGCTGTAAAAAATCAATGTTCATGTCAAATACCCCTGTATAAGTTGACACCATTGCTTTCTAACTCTAATTACTTTTTTTCTCCTCTGCGAAGTATGAAGAAAATGCTGGTGTAAGTTTACTGTTTTCTGGAACCACAGCACACAGTGGCTACCAAAAAGATATATTTGATACTGAAACTGCCCTCTCAGGAGCAAAAACCAAGATGGATTTAGGTTTGTGAGAAGGTTTTTCTTTATCTTATAATTTCATATTTACAAATTTATATTTTATATGAAAACACAAATTCTGTCTAGTGATAAAATATACAAGTAAAGAATTCTGCAGGCTCAAGGCAGTCTGGCTATAAATAGGTTTCAGCTTCATGATCTTGCTTCCTCCTCCAAAACTACCTACAGTTGTCACAAGTGATATCGAAAGTGGCTGTAGCTTTGTCCTGCCTGTGGAGAATCACTGTCTGCTGTGTCCCCAGTAGGACTCCATGCATAAGTAAAATAGCTCACGCCTGTAACTTCTGTCAGGAATTGGGCTCGGTTGCTTTTGCTGATTTTATAAAGTTTTGCACTTTTAAAAAAAATAATAAATAGTGACAGGCTCTGGAGGTAACTTTACCACAACCAAAATTTGCAAGTGAAGTCTATGGTAGCTAATTGCCTCATGTCTTGGCTTAGTAATCAGTGCTCAGGGGCAAAGTTTCTCCTTGTCAGATGGCCAGAGATGGATGGTTAGAATTTGGTAGGTCATCAGGGAAATAAACTTATCAACCTGCCCGAGATAGCGCTCACTGGTTGGGAGAAAGGAGGTTCCATTGTTTCCTTTCTGTGTCACCTGCATCTTGTCCAGCAGACGCTGCGTAAGCTACAGCGGCAGACTGATGGCTCTGGTGGTTCAATTAACGTTGGTACTTATGTCACCAAAATGACATCAGTGTTCCCCAGCGTGATGGGGTTCCATGCTGGAGCAGGGCTTTGCACCACTCTCCCTGCATAAAGGGTGGATTCCTTATTTCTAATCATGTGTTTTTGTGAGGAGCATCTGTCATGTCGGTTGTACCTAAGCATGTCTCAGTTCCACAAAGACTGGGCTATAAGAAAGTGTTTAGTGTGGTTTAAATTTCCTTCAAAACTAAGTTTTGTGTATCTCTAAGTCTCTTGATCATCACACAACATTCACATTTGGAACATGGTGAGCTAAGGGGTTTATTTCCAAGGGTGATGACTGGTAGATGCAGGGACCGAGGAAGCAAAAATTCACATCTACACCTTTTCTTCTTCAGGTACAAAGCTTCGGATTGACTCTAAAGGACCTGGGCTTGCTGTTGATCTGGAAGCTATTGAAAAGGAAGAACTAAAAGGGGAAGACTGTGTTTTTTCCAAGAACCCAGAATCTAGGAGAGTAACCACCTTAGCTCAGCCCAGAACAGCATCATGCAGGTATGGAGAAAGATTTCAGGTTTTGGAAGATTTCCAATTAATGATCTTAATTGTCTTCTTGCTTTACTTAGCTGACTAATCATTAAAAGCTGTGTGAAACAGCAAGACGTACATAGATGGCTGGTTCTATGACTTTTGCCCAAGGACCTGAATTTTGCTGTACAACCTTATTGAATCTTTACTTCCCACATTTCCTCCCCTGAGTACTGGGACAGATAAGTGCGAATGGCTCTGCTGCCTGCTTCGCTTACTCCACAGCGAGGGGAGTATGGATGTGGCCTGGAGGAGAGGGATGTAGCCTTTACTGGCAGTATGGGTCATTACTGCTTAAGGAGCTCTCCCCTTAGGTCTTTATCATAGATCTGTCCTCCCAGTTTTCTCTTACCTTTGGGAAGAGCAGTTCAGCCATGGCTCTCAGGGCTCTGCAGGAGATTTTAGTCTTACCAGCGGTGCTGAGAAAGCTTGAGCTGGTGCTGGTCATAGGTATTTGCCACGTCTGTCACGAGTCCCATTCTTTCCCCACCAGTTTTCAGTGAGTGGGTAGTGGATCTGCTTTTGGGGCCTGTTGATTCAAATACTCAGTACTTCCCTAATTCCTCTGTAATATTCCCCCAGAGGGAAAGCAGCTCAACAATAAGGTGAGGGGATTATTTCTCCAGCACAACATCCTACTTCCTTTTTGCATTTTAAGAGTAGCATTTACAGCTCTCAGGATCTACAGAAAATGTGTGCAAGGAAGTATTGTTTCAACCTTTCTGTGGGTGCCTGCAGTTCCATACTTCTGTTCCTATTCTATGAATAGGTGAGTCATATATAGTATAAAAATTTAATTAACACTGTGTTCTGGAGTGTTTAATGGAACACACAGGATCTGTTCTCCCAGTTGCAGCATGATTTGGTTTCTGGTCAGCTAGGCTGGTTTTATCGTGTTTATATCCTGCTATAAGAATCACAGCATATTTATCAGAAAGTAAATGTTAATTGCTTAAATAGTCATTTCAAACGAGTAAATGCAGTGCAGATTTGTATATCACAGAGCAGCTTATAAATTTGGTCTGGCCATCATGTTTATTTCTGGAGCATTCCTTAAGTACATTCAAACCTAAATACAAAAATTCCTGTCTAGTCTGTTGACTCTGCACATTTGGTTTAAACTGGACAGTGTGAGAAGGCGTCGCTGTCTCACTGCCAGGTATAAAATATGCAAAGAATTGTGACCTGGCATGGGTGATGCCTTTTTAATTTTTTTTATTCCTCCCCTCCCTCTGCCCCCAATTAGTGAATTACCTGAGAGAGAAGAAGGAGAAGGAGAAGAAACTCCAAACTTCAGCCACTGGGGACCACCACGGACGTATGTTCATATGATTGCATTATTTCTTCCCATTTACCTTATGTCTTTTCTTCTGTGAGCCCGATTAGTTCCCATGGTTGTTTTTTTTTCTCCCCTCCTCTGCCAATAACTTTAAGGTACTTGTGTACCTTGGGCTTTCTTAGATACAGTGAATTTTTAACACATGTTCAACAGAATTATGCCTTCTATTTATACAGCTGACTCGGGAAAGCTTGGCAAGTTTACGTTGTGGATGACCTACAAGTTCTTGCTCATTTAATAACTATTAGGTGTGAACAATGCACATAGTGCTGCTGTCTCCTTTTCCATGGGTTCTCTGCTAAACGTAATGGCAGGATTCCAAATTGCCAAGCCAAATTTTAGCCACATCCTTGTTGTATTGTTAACATTTTTAGGTGAATTGTTTTTGTGGTTCTAAGTAAAATATGATCAGAAAATTCCTGCTTAAGCTGATTCAAATGCATCTGATACACTGAAGTCAGTGTTCAGAAAGTTGTATGAAATGCTTTGTTTTAGTATTTGTCTAGCATGCCACTTAGAGTTTGTCATTTCCAGAAAATTTGCTCAAACTGAAAGAGGATGAGTGTTTACTTGAAGACCTGCCTGTTTTACCCTGATTTTTTGCTGAAATAAAAGCATATGCCTGGTGGGCATGGCTTGGCAGCAGAGTTTTGTTCTTTTTGTGGGGTGAGGTCTGCTCAGGGTAAAAAGCCAAGTCTGTTGCGAGCATTCTTATGCTTCTGACTTTATCCCTTTACTCTATTAAATCTTCTTGAAAGATCAGAAGCTTACATTTATCTAAGGCTTTGCATTTATAGTTTAAAAAAACTGTTTCAAGCTGTTAAAGTACCACATGTATTTTTTCAGTGTTGAGATCTTTAGAGACCCTCATGTGTCTCTTGGAATCAGTATTGTTGGTGGACACACTGTCATAAAGCGCCTGAAGAATGGAGAAGAACTTAAAGGGATCTTTATCAAACAAGTTTTGGAAGACAGCCCAGCAGGAAGAACAAGGGCTTTAAAAACTGGAGATAAAATACTTGAGGTAAATGCAGATAAACCTACCTTTTCATTCTAAGAAACAAAGATTGACTCAAACAGCTTTGGGAGGAGACAGGGACGAAATACTTCCACCACTCCATGAAGTATTGACGACACTGTGTTTTGAAAACCAAAAGAAACCCCTGGTGTCATCTTTTCTTTTTTAAGGTCTGACTATGGAGCTCTTTTAACATTCTCCTCTATATTTAAGAAAAGATAGATCCTGGTATCTGATGGGGAAGTGAAAAAAGTGCCCTCTTCCCATATAAATGAGTAGTAAGTTATAGCATACCTTTAAGTTATAATAGATAGAAGCATAAGTTATAATAGATAGAAGAACATAGACTCTTCATACTGCAATTTGGGTTGTTATTATGTGTGTGTGAATTTGGAGTAGTTAACATCCGATTAACTGCTGTCTGGGGTAAATCCCTGATTTGGGCAGGTGCCTTGGGGGAGAATGCCATTCCTGGCTTTCATCTCTGGCTCTGTGTTGATTTGGTTTTTTTACTCATTTGTCTCCAAATGACTACTTCTGAATCTGGGTTCCCAAGCTGGTAGCGCCATTCTTGTATGTGCTTTAGGGTTGTGTGTGATGTTTTGAAAAACACAAATAGGTAAAATCTGAAAGAGTTGTCCTATACCTACCATTATATCCAGCACTCTCTGACAATGTTATTCCTTATGTTTTTCTCTAGAAGAATTGCTTTGGGAAACATATGGCCATCTTATAATTAAGAATACTAAGTAATATACGTTTCCTTAATGCGTCATGAAAACATACTTTACAAATCATTTCTCTTGACTGCTTTTAGTACCTTCCTCAGGTACACTAATCTTCTGCAAATGTGTGTGATCTCTTATAATGACTCTGTGACAAAGACAAGCTACCTAATAGAAATAAACATTGTTTGTTAGGTTTCTGGGATAGACCTACAAAACGCCACACATGAAGAAGCAGTAGAAGCTATCAAGAACGCAGGAAATCCCGTCGTGTTTGTAGTTCAGGGTTTGTCTAACGTACCAAAAGTAAGTTTATTTCTATTTTTATTCCAAAACTTAATAAGTGTGTAACATGCATCTTCTTTTAAACTTGGCTCAATTCCTTTCAGCAAGTTCCATCAATTCTTGTGTCCATCCTTTCTGTCAGAGGTCATTCTTATAGACCACAAGATTGATTGATTACTTGTCTGGCCTGATTTGAAACCTTGCTTCTCCGATGTAAATCGAGTAGATGTAAATCTGTTGACTAGGTGTTAATTCAGTACTCCCACCTGTGTAATTGAGTCTGGCCCTGTATATTTTAATTTGTTCATATTCCCTAATCTAAAAATATACTCTGCTATCCAAATGAACAAATGTATAATTAAAATTAGTCAGATTCACACTAGAAGTTCTGTGTAAAATGTGTCACCAAAAGGACCTGAAGTAGTTATTTGGGAGCAGGTTAATTTTCAAGAGATTTTACGTGTCTCCTTATTTTCACGGCCAAGGCAAGAAACTTTATAATGCCTTAGTAAGAAAAGGCATACAGTTCTGCCTGCCTTGAAGTACACACAAAACCCCCAAGAGTTCTATGTACTTTTGGTATAATCTGAGAAGTTAATTGGGAATTTTTGAGGATTAGTAGACCTGTGGAGAACTTTTTGACAACTGTGGACAAATCTGGCACAACTGTGTCCATTATTTTTCCAGTGCTCCAGGGAGTCTTTCAAAATCTATTAAGACTTTCACCAGCTATGTTGGGAAGGTGCTGAAGCAGCGATGGTAACTGAGTCGGCTCCTTTTCTCTATCAGCTTTTTCACAGAAAAGATCCAAAAAACCTGTCAGAGCATTCAAGCAGCTGTCCAGCTGCATCTCTGACAATTACTTTCCTAGTCAATCTAGAGAGATCCAGGGAAAGGCAGATGATTTGACATTTGAGTCACTTTGCTTTGAACTGTAGGCTGTAGGAAACTGGACATTCGCAGACCTTCAGCACTGCTGCGCAGTGCCAACTCCCATTCGCCAAAATAAGGTACTGTCAGAGGAGTGGAAATATACTACATTTTGTGACAAGTAGGAGACTGAAAAGGAGCCCAGGAGTAGCCATTTCCTTTTATATGGCCTGATCATGTGACCCAACACAAGGCCCATTGTGTACTCACATTTTGAGTACTTCCTACTTTGAGCTCCAACTGTGTGCCTGCCACCGGCTGTAATCAAAATACCCTGAAAATTTCCCCTTGAAAGAATAAAGAACAGCAAGGAGGAATATTATGCCCCCTTTTATAAGGGGTCTGTGTGCATGGACACTGGTCTCTATGTGAATAACCAAGAAGTGACACTTTGGGAGTCCGTACTGAGCTCTGTATCAAGGGTCTACATCCATATTGTTGACTCCAGAGTAAAGTTTAATTGAATGAAGACATGGGGCTAGACATCAAACAGTGAGCACTAAAAAGAGTAGAGAACTTTTGTAAATTCAGTAAAAGAATGTAATTTAAAGACTGCGCTGCAATGCCCTTCTACATGGGGCAAAATGAAGGGTGCACTGGGTAGCTTTATTGTTGACATTACCTAACTTTTGGATGTTTGTTTTATGGCTCTAACACTCTTTCTAATGTGTGTAATATATGCATTGTTTTTCAGGTGGTTTCTGCCGTACAGCCTAAGGCAATCAAAGTCAGCAAAGATCAGGATGCAGACAAAGAAAATAAGAGTGAAAAGGTATTTATTTCATTCAATGCTACACCCAAGTTTTACGAAATGAAAGGGTATAATAGCATGCATTATAGCTCTATGATAAGAAATGAAATTTGAATTGTTTTGTTGAAATATCTTTAATTCAAGTAATTTTTGCCAAATTTCTGCCAAACACAAGGCAGGTTTCTGATAAATGTTCTGTGGGTCTCCCCTGGGTGCTGAAACCCTGTACTTACTGCAGCTCTTCACTGGCATCTCTCTGGAAGTACCTTCTTTGCTCCATGTGGAGGCAAATTGATTCTTTCTGTTCAGCAGAAACAGAGAAATAATAACATGTACACAAATGATATCCTTAATGTGAGGCTGGCTGAAATTCAGTAAAATCATGTTATAGGATAATTAAATCCGCTAAGTCTCCTACATTTCCCATTGCTGTGTAAAACAAGGAAATGACCGAGTGATCTGTAGCTGGCCAGCTAATTGTGAAGCAATTACTGCATACTAACTTTCAAGCAATTTCACAGCAGATTTAAAAGAGAAAAAAAATCTGTTTGGTCTAAACCAGTGGATTTGTTTTAATCACTGCAATAAGGGAAAAATTTAATTTCTCATTCCTAGCCACGTTGCTCTAATGACCTAGGTATTTTCCTGTGGGAACTGTGCTGGCTGACTGAGTGTAGGTCAGGTACTGTGAGGGTGTCAGAACTGGAGGAGCAGAGACAGAATTAGTGCAGACAATAACTTTTGCCCAGTGTAGTTTAACATGCCAACTACAAATATGATGAACTTTTCATTTGATCCTGCTCAGTAGTCTGGTGTGTGGTGGATAACTGAGAGGGCCCTCTTGCCTCCAGAAGTTTTTGTAAGATTCCTTTCAGATCCTGTCAGATACCGAAGCTACGAGGCTCAGTTATTTAAAAAAAAAAAAAAAAACCAAAAACAAGAAAGGTGTTGGAGTCATGCTTTCATTCCCGCAGATAATACTTATAATGAAGCAGTTACAATCTCCTTTTCTTGGTTTCGTTATCTGTATTTCTAATCTCAAAAGCGCTCATCCTCTTGCAACTTGCTGCCTTTAATCTCTAGGACTCCAGCGTGTTGCATTCTATAGCGTTCGGAGGTTAAAGAGGGAGCCTAATTTTTTTCAAACCTTTTTCATCTATTGGTGCTGTAAACTGGTGGGTGGAATATAGAAGAGCTTCAGTGCATAAATATGTAGCTCCTTTTTAGCTTTGAACATTGATTCACAAAGCAGTCATACTGTGCTACGGTAGGGGCATCTCTGAGTTGGAAAGAGTTGCTATTAGTGGATTACTAGTCCGCGTCCCTGTGGGGAATCAATGATATTTCTAGTCCAGTCTTCAAAGTGTCACAAAAGAGTTTGGTTTGAAAGCAGCCACATTCAGCTGGAAAATCTGCCTTTTCCTGTATGATGAATTATCTTTTCAATACTGAAGGTTTTCTCTGATTTGTTGGTGTTTATCCTCCTCTATTGATCTATTTGTTTAAAAAATGATCACTTGAAGTAATCTATATAAAACCACTTAAAACATTTGAGCTTCTTGTGGACAAGCTGAAGTTGGAGTCGGACTCAATGATCCTTATGGGTCCCTTCCAACTCAGGATATCTTATGATTCTAAGCCAGACAGCCAACCAGCAAAATAATGTTAATATGTAAACTGCAGTTTTGCCTCTGTGCTGGAAAGAGCTGTGTTAATACAAAACCAGGGTGTAATGGAGTATTCTGGCACAATTTACTCACCTGGGTTTTCAGCAGGTCAGGAGGGACAAGAGAAGTTTGTCCTGAGCCATAGCAAACTGCTGGGTGAGCTTAGGTGTCTCATGTAGTTTCACACAGACTTTCTAACAAGCGTTTAAGGTCTTAAAAAGCCAAACGGTCAACATTTAGACTATGAGTTATTACTAAATTATAGTGATACTACTGATTTGTCATAGGCAGCTGAAAGGAGGGGGCTGCAGTTTTCTGTCTTTACCTGCTCGATAGTGTAGGACATGAGTCCTCTCATGCTTCCTGGATCTTCTGGATTTTGCATGGTTCTACCTGTGTTGGCGTCAAGCGAAGAGTGAGAGGCGTATTTGGTGTATTGTATACCTTGGGGAAACAGCTGTCGTGTTTCCAAGTTCTCTTACTATGCACTCTTAATACTATTGGATTGAATTAATTTCATTTATTATTGTTATGCTGTCTTCAGTGCAGCACTTTGCTGTAATGTTTTTTAAATGGATGGGATGATGTGTATCTTACCTCATGAAATTTTCTATGTAGCTTGCATTGCAGTTTATTCTATCAGACTATTCTATCCAAATTTATGCTCAAGATTTTGGAAATCCATATGCAGGTTCAGCTTTCATTGTACACAGTGAAAAATTTTATTCTGAGTTTGATGTTTGGGTGTTGAGTCGTATTTCCCAGCTATAGAAGAAATTAATTACGGGCATTCTGGTTGCTCTAATAGCATATTGTACTCAGCGTTCCCTTTCTAAAGTGCATCCTGCTATTAGTAGTGGGGATGCAGTTGAACCTAATTGAGTGAAATCATGTAGCAAACTAAGGCACAATCCAGTTACCTGAAGCTATAAAAACAGTTGCTCGGACGAGCAAGCGCCTGTTTTCATTAGATTCAGAGCCGATTCTTTATGCCTGCCATGCGCCGCTATATGCATCATTATAGGAGCTGCCTGTATTTATGTGAGGTAAAAGAATTTTATTGTAAGTTATAATTCAAAATCTTTTTAAAATTTAAGCCAAAATATAGATGAACTGATATGTTTAAATATTCATAGATGCACTAAGAAGATTTAGTTCTTATTTTGTATTTAAAAGTTTGACTTTTATCAGTACCAGACAATTTTGTTGTTGAGTCTCTAATGAGAAATGGGGTGTAATTTAATGTTTAGTTTTAACCTTTGATTAATGTTCACACTTTCATGTTCATGATGATACACCAGTATTTTGTGAACAAGTAAATGTGCACACAGAATTATATTTTCTTTTTTTTTTTGATGTTTGGTGTCACTTCTTGTTCTGATTTCTTGCATACAAAGCCTATGCCGCAGAATTTAGCATTGTAATTAAGTGCTGTGTATATGTGCATACAGCGCAGTAGACAATAGGATTATTTTTTTCTTGTGCATGGAGGTTACAAAACATGTAACTATTTGTCTTTGAATCCACTAGAGAAAATATGGGGCTCCGCCTCCAATGAAATTGCCTCCTCCTTATAGAGCACTTGAAAGACTGCATGCAGAGGAAGTTAACGTGGATGAAGAGGAGGATGAGGATGCTTGTGCAGAGAGTAAGTAGTGCCACAATCATTACATCAGATTACATTTGTGGAACACAATCAGATTGTGATAAACATATCTGCCGTTTATTGCTTGCATTATGGGAAGTAGTGGTCAATGTGGCAGTAGCATCTAATCAAACTTGTTCTTACCAATGGCTCCTGATTTGTAACTTAGAGAATCTTCTCTCCCAAGCCAGGCTCCGGTAGCTCAGCTCTTCTGAAGAGATGTAGGAAGGGCTCTGTTTATTTTCAGTCTAAAAATGTCTAAGCAATGTCTAGAGGACTTGCTTTGGCAGTGATGTCAGCAGTGAAAGGCAGATGTTCTGCTTTACTCTTGTAATTGCAGTGGCAGTTGAGCAGGCGTAGGCTGAGAACCACTGGTGCATAATCCTTGTCCAGAAGAGCTGCAGCTGAATTCAGACAATGCTGTTAAAGCAAAATATTTTCCCTTAAAAAGAAAAATCTGCTGACATTGTTTCAGTACTCTACTGAAAAAAAAAAACCAAGAGTCCCCTTTTTTTGTACCGCCTTTTATGGGAAATGTTCTGCAATTGTCCAGTTCTGGGTTTTGCAATGAATTATAACGATTTACACTCTGTAGAATAGTAGAGACAGATGGAGTAGGATGCAGAGCAATTTGAGAGCTTCCAGCAGCGTGACTTAGATTCCAGCGCACTGTTTTGTTAATTCCAACTTTGGTCAAATGGAATATTATTATCCATAGCTTGTCTTCCAGTAATATTTAGGAATACTAAAATTGCAGTAAGGAGTCCTAAATTATTTTCTAGCATTAGTTACCTTTAATTTTTTTCTTTACCCTCTCCTGTGCCAAATCAGCATACATGTGGGGTTTTTGTGGGGTGGTTGGGTTTGTTGGGTTTTGGTTGTGGTGGGTTTTTTTCCCCTACAGTAATTTTTCTCATCATCTTTTGTCTTGGAGAGCTTTTTGTTTGCCCTAGTTATGGGTAAGCCGAAGCAGAGAGATGCCTTTGTAACTTTTGACCTTGAAGTGACCATGGCTCCCATTCAGAGTGGAAGCTCCTAAATTGGGGCCTGCTGGTGGGAAAGCTCTTCCAGCTGCTCTTGCTGATTTTCTTGGCAATGGCATGCCATTGAAACCAAGATAATTAATGAGTTTGGTTGGTTTGTGACTTTTAGGGCTGTTTTGGTGGAGACAAGAAGGATTTTGGAAGGTTGTTCTCATGGATACAGTAATGGGGGCACAGAAGCAGGGTGCTCAGCTCTGCCTCTGTGGCTTTAAGGGAAAGCTGCGAGTTCTTGAACCAACCGAGATTTTTCCAGAACTCTCCCTTGCTGAGTTTGTCATCTCATCAGTTTGGAGTATTCTACATAGTTACCTCAAGAAGGTTTTTCGGTATTTTTGGGGGGTGAGTGGTAGTCAGAAGGAGGATTTGACTGGAGACTGTGTGGATGTTGGATTGAATATATCTTGAGGTTTCAAGCCAACACTGTAAACCTCCAGTTGTAGCAAACAGCTCATTTTTAAAGTTATAATTCCCAGTTAAAGCATATATTTGATAAGTAGCCTGACACCTGAGTTATCTAATTAGAATATGCCTCAATCTGAGTGCTTGCTGGCCCTAAGTTAATACTTTGCACAGAAATAATTTCTTATTGATGGGCTTGGTCATTTTTAGCTGTTCTGCCATCCCTAATGATATTGCCAGCTGAGTCTAATAGCTAAAAAGGTAAAGCTACTTCTGATATTAAATTCATCAGTCCTACCAGATTTGGCAGCAGCAGGCAGATCTACTCAGAGGAATCTCGACCCTTTTTACTGACTGAAGTTGAAAGTTTGGCAATAGCCATCTTTCCCATGAATCTTAGAAAACCAAGATATGCATTTTCCATTTTATTCTTCCCCACCTCATTCTGTTTCCTTAAAATAAAAACCAGACTAAGGAAGCTTGAACGAAGTTTGTACCTCAACCCTTGGAGTAAAAAGCACATTAGAAATGATCTAACTGTATTTAATGATATTAAGCACCTTGGCAGCTGTGGACTGGGCTTTTACAGAGTGTCTTTTCTGTAATCACTTGACAAACAATGTTTTCTCTGTAAATTCCAGTACAGTATTGTTTTTGTGAACTACTTGATGTTCGTAACTTCTGTCCTGATTCTTCAGCACCTTTCCCAGAAATCTCAGTCCCGGCCCGTACTTGCCTTTCTAACACTGTCCATTTGCATTTTCATATTGATCTCTTACCCACTTATCCTACTAATTCTACTGCTTTTGTAACCTTAACTAATAATTTTCTGAGCCTTACTGAATGGGTGAACTAGATTTATTGTCTTCCTTATTTAGAAGATCAGGTATCTTAAAAGGAAGAAGCGGTGTCAGCTCAGGTAAATTCCCATCAAAGCCTCTCCTTCTTTCATTTGCTTCCTGTAGTTCTCTAATCTGGGCCAGTAACGTGAAAGGCCTTAGTGGGAATTTTGAGGTGGGACAGCTGTTAAATCTGTCCTCTGGTTGTGCTCCTTAAGGATTTATTTTATTGCATTCTTATTAATACAACTGCAGTGTCACCAACCTGCTCATCAATTTCTTTCATACTCCAGAAGTACTTTACTTGCTCCACTTGACATTTTTTCACCTTGCTTGTCAGTTCTTTTGACCCATGCTTCCATCTTTTGTCTCCATGTCCTTCGTCATTCCCCCTACTGAAAATTAAAGCAAAGCATTGTTAGTCTCCCTACCATATTTCGAAAATTTTTCTTTCCTTTCTGTCCCATCTATACTGCCTTACGTCTCCATGGCTTGCCTGTTTTCCCCTTAAAGTGGCTGAATAACCTTTTGCTATCGATTTAATTTCCCCTGTGGGATCTAAATCCACTTGCCTTTTGGCAATGCTCCCTTTTATTTCTGCTTTTCCACCACTGAAACTGTAGCTTTCATTGCTGAGTTGTGGTAACAAACATTCATTTCTTGTAGATGTTTTGCCTTTTCTTTTCAAAGGTTGTTTTTAATCCAAATTGAGTGAATCCTTATTGGGGATAGAACTACTAGGTAGCTCTTGGTTTAGAGAAACTCCAGCTGTCTTCCATGTTCCTGTGGTTTAAGAAGTTTAAGGAAGTTCCAAGTGGTTTTTTTTTTTTTTCCAAATGTGTCGTCTTGCACCCAAGACCCTTCATTTCAGATCTGCTTCTCCTTTATATTACAGTTTAATTTACTTCCAATATTTTTTTTGAAGTTCTTAGAGAGTTTTTTGCTAGACTTTGCAGGCAAGTTGAAATTAGTATTTCCTCTTGTTTTATTTCTTCTTCTAGTGATATTGTCAAATCTTTATCAGTATTCAACTTTAACCCTGTGGATGTGTTTTTTGTTTACTCTTTGCTTTGACTTCGTTGTTTTAAGGCTTTCAGTTTACGCTTTAAAATAGTTTTGTAAAACTTGCAGCGTGTGCATCCTGTTGCAAAAGGAGCCTTCCAAATGCTTCATCTTACAGACCTGAAAATGTTACGCCACAAGTTTGGAGTTTTTTCCTCCCCACACTGGAAACACTTGTCCATGGCAGAGGTTATTTTAGAGGAGGTCAGTCTCCAAGAAGAGGTTTTTTTAGGCTTCCCAAACTTTAAAACCATGAGGTTTTGAATAGGATTTTTTTTTTTTTTTAATCAAAACAAGTAAAAGGAGGAGAGAGCATACAAAGGGGCTATTTGTACTTGCAAGCAGCTGTGCTACAGACTGCATCAATAGGCATTGGTGTGTTTTCCTTTAGTGGCGGATGGCTGTAGGTATGCGCTAAGAGTCTGCTAATAGACTAATGTGCACCCTGTTGTGGCTTATTGCTATAATGAGGGGTTAGTAGTAAAAAGAAGCAGAGGAAATGGATGGGCAGAGTAGTTTGTAATGAAATGTTTTGTAAGGTTTTCCTTGGGGCATTCATAACTGTTCAATTTAGATATACTTCTGTGACTGAGTTGCAGCAATCATAAGTTAGATAGGAAAGACCTTAAAAACCATTAGAAGAAAGCTAAAAAGACAACTGTTGAAAGAATTTGGAATTTTTCATTTCAATTGATATACTATTTTTTAGTAAAATCTTTTGTCTAGTTAGTTGACTGAGATTGATCTGGTTGGTTTCAAATAAGTTTAGAATGATAAAAATAGATAATAATAAAAAATTTGTGAAAGGTGGCTAAGATAATGGACTAGATACTGCTGTGCTCAGACTTCCTGTCTGCAAGGATGTTTAACTGTATCTAATAAGGGGATAATAATGCCCCCTTTCTTTTATTTTTTCTCTAGATAATGTAGAAATCAATGAAGCTGTAAGAAAGCATAATGATTTATCTTCCTAAAATGCTTTTTGAGGAATGGTGGTTTCTCTACCAAAGCAAGAGGTTTTAAAACTTCTCTAGTGTTTCAACTTTGCATTCCCCGTTGTGATAAATCTGTGGCTGTGTAGGGTGCAAGAGGGGTGAGTGTGTGAGTGCACACGTGTGTAGGTTGGTTCAGACAACGCCTGTTGTCTAGGTAGGGTTGGGTTGGGGTTAGAAAGCGGTTGGGCATGCGAGCAGAGTGCTCTCATCACACCTACGGTTCTTAGCTGCTTCCATTGGATCAATGATATCTGTACACACCTGTGAGAGGATGGTGGCTTTCATTAAAAACAAAAGATGAAAAAAAAAGGAAGAGACATCAGTTGAGACTTTGCAGAAGGTATGGTCAAGTACGTGGGGTGTGCTTTAGGTGCAAAATGATGACCTCAGGAAGTGTCTGCGTACTGCTGTGGGTGAAGATGGGAGAATGATCATTGTCACTTTGGAAAAATGCCAGAATTATTAGCAATAACTAAATAAAAACAAACCCACTGATAAATATATACTTCTTGAGAATCTGACTGTTTAGGGTTTGTTTTATCTGAAGCTGTGCTAAACCAAAGGAAAAGCAAGTCTTAATTTATTTAAATATTTGGGGGGGGGGGGGGGGGGGAAAAGGGGGTGGTAGAACTCAAAAACTGATCTTCAGGTGAGGCAGCTTGTGT